TTCTTAGAGACAGGGTCTTGCTCCGTGTCCCAAGCTGGAGTGCAGAATCATGATCACAGCTCACGTAACCTCAAACTTCTGAGCTCAAGTGATCCTCCAGCCTCAGCTTCCCAAAGTCCTGGGTTTACAGGTGTAAGCCACTATGCTCAGCCTCATTCATATAAATATTCTAATTTCTTCACAGGACTTCATCTTAATACTCTCTCTCTCCACACACACATATATACATTTTGGGGGGGGGGGCGCGTAGGGGCACAAGGGTCTCAACCTGCTGCTTGGGCTAGAGTACAGTGCATTCTAGCTCCCTGCAACCTCAAATTCCTGAACTCATATGATGCTCTCACCTCAGTGTCCTCAGTAGCTGGAACTACAGATGTGTGCTATCACACCCAGCTCATCTTTTAAACTATTTGTAAAGGTGGGGTCTTGCTATACTGCCCAGGCTGGTTTTAGACTCTTGGTCTTATGTGATCCTTCTGCCTTGGCTTCCCCAAGTGGACAGTATATTTTTATGCTTAAAATTTCTTTTGTTGGATGGCACTTACAGCTCAAGGAGTAGGGTGCTGGCCCCATATGCCAGAGGTGGTGGGTTCAAACCCAGCCCTGGCCAAAAAAAAAATTCTTTTGTGATGACTCATATCATCATTATCTACAACTAAAATTAGGTATACATTGAAAATCAATTTTCTTTTTTCTGAACTGTTAATGTTATAAGTGTTCGGGGCAATGTGATTCAGATATCATTACTATTAAAATTAATGTACAATACCTCAAAACATACATGTCTCATTTTGATTAAAGATAGAAAGTAAAATCTGGAAATGGATCTCCCAGTGGGTGGATGGCTCATTCCCCTGTTGGTTTAGTTGCCTAGGGACAATCACTGCTCACTGCTTGTCTGAAACAGCTCTCAGTGTCAGTTGCAGTCCTGTTTGTCATGTTTGCAGCCGACAGACATGAACACTAGGTTCTTGGTTCCTAAGTCCATAGTTAGAGGAACATGGCTCCCTCACTGGGTCCCTTAGAGCCCCTGGTGTCTGTGTCAGAAATCTATTAATGGTCTCCACAGTCGAGGAATGCAGCGTCCCTTCTCCTCTCCTGTAGGGGCTGGGCTCTGGGGCTATTGGGGGAACGGTGGGAGGGATGGGAGGGATGGGGGGCTGGGACAGTGGGGGTGGGGGCAGGCTTTGGGGCCTGGGTGGGCCTGGGAGATGGGGAGGGGGCAGGCTCAGGGATTGGGTAGTGCTGCCCTGTGTGTTCCTCCCGGGCTGGTTCCGGACCTGCGCTTGCCTCCTCCCGCAGAGCCGATGCTGAGCACGCCGCCCCCCACCAGTGAGCTACCGCAGCAGCCGCAGGCCCTACACTACACCCTGGCCAACGCGCAGCAGGTGCAGATTCACCAGATCGGAGAGGACGGGCAGGTGCAAGTAGTATGTACCCCTCTCAATCACATCTGGGGAGGGGCTGGGGGACGGGCGGGGTCAGCTCTCACCTCGGCCTGCAGCACATAGACCACCGTGGGATGAAGCGCAGGCGCCTCACCAGTGTAGGAGGGCGGAGCCAGAAACTTAGGTGTTCCGGGGGTGTTGCTGGTGTTTGAGTCTGGCGCCTGTGAAGTGGCACTCGTCACTGCCCCCGCAGTCGCCAGGGCTTTCTCCTCCGCACCAGACCCTTCTCTGCGGAGGGCTGGTCCCTCCCGGAGCCTGAGGCACTCAAGGGCTTTAACAGGTTGACCAGCTGGGCCACTGCTGTCCACAGAGCCAGGTGCCCTCATCTTGTTACCGGGAAAGTTCTTTGAAGGAATTCCAGGATAGATAACTTTGCTGTGGGGTTTACATAGAACAGTCACCAGGACTTTCTTCGAAGATCTGTTGTATCTGAGAATTTCAAATACGATAATAAGTATTTCAGTCAGCTAGGTTAAGGTTTCATAGGAATTATTTGTCTGCCCATATCTATAAACATAAACGTTTCAACTGGGTTCTTTGATTCCCCCCCCCAAACATTTATTAGTGTTTGCTTGAGCTATTTAAGTAGTCATGTGAGTGTGGGAATGAGCCGCCTGACTGTGGTCAATGTGGGCACGCACATGCTGACCTCAGCCTCACACTGCTGGCAGGGCCTTTTCACCTTGCCAGGTCCCCGGGGAGACTCTCCCTGGGCTTTCCACCAGGTTTCTAGTCCCTCTGAATTGAAAGTATAATTAAAAAAAAAAAGTTATAATTCTCATTTCGTTTCCTCTTTTTTCTGTATGTCAGTCACATTCTTAAACTTAACGTGTTGAGTACATTTAAAGATTTAACCAATTTTCCTGGGACCTATTGTTCCTTTAAGAATTACTGTAGAATGTTCTGTATCTGTACAAGTAGCCCCCACTCCCTGTTTCCCATTTCAAGGTTTTAGTTACCTGTAGTGAAGTGTGGCCTGAAAATATCAGAGGAAAAATTCCAGAAGTAAACAATTTACCAGCCATAAAAGCTGTTCGTGAGCACCTGTGGGAAAGGTGACGTCTGCGCAGTGATCAGTGCTGTGCAGCACTGTGGCTGCCTGCTGGGCAGGGGCTTCTTGGACTGTCCTCGTGTAGATGCGAGTTCAGTGCAGAGGCAATGTCACAAGCGCCTGTCGTGGGTAGTTACTCTGGACGGGGAGCAGATAGTCCAGACAGCTCCAGAAAGCATCTGCTGTCTGCATCTGCTCCGATTGCCTTCTGATGCTCCTTTGTGTCTTCTCGCTGCGGATCCCACAGGGCCACCTCCACATCGCCCAGGTGCCTCAGGGGGAGCAGGTGCAGATCACGCAGGACAGCGAGGTGAGCGCCCGTCATGGGCAGTGGTACATACCGGGCTGCATCCCAGCATGGTGGGCAGCTGGGAGTCCCCAGGGCATGTCACACTGACTGTGGTCACAGCACTCCCACCCGCTAGGGCACATGTGCCCAGCCCCCCAGTCCTGCAACCTCGCTGCTCTCCCTGTCCTGAGCTCTTGTCTCCACAGCCTCTCACCAGTTTTTTTTTGTAAAGACTTTCTGTGTTGAGTTTTCTGCTCCTGGCTGGAGGCACCCTCCGAGCACCCTTTTCTCCCCATCTGACACTGCAATTCCCACCTGGGGTGGACCCTTTGTGGCGGAGGTGTGGTCTGCCCCGGTGGTCCTACACACTCCCCTAACCTCTGCCAGCCCCAGCTGCTTCTCTGGCATTCTGGGACTAATGCCCATCCCATGGGACATGGGGATCCTGTGGGGTGAGCCACGCAAAGCCCAGCACCAGTCATGGCTCTCAACACACCTGCTGTCCTGGGATTATCTTGCTGTCTCAAGTCCCTGAGAGCCAGGCTTCAGGTGTCAGAACTTGGTTATTCCTTTTTTTTTCTTTTACTAATTTTAATCAATGATGAGGACAGAGCGTAGCAGGTTCTTCCCACTACACAGATTCTGTAAGCACGTGCACAAGACTGCACAGGTGGCCCTGGGGTCAGCCACATGCCCATCAGTGTGAACTGCAGCTTCTGTGGGGACCCATCTCCACCTGAGCTGTTGGAGATGGAGGGCTGCTGGTCAGGGTGGGCGTCTCCATGGGAGGTGGGGAAGGGTCCCCACTGGCTGTTCCCACAGCACAGGTAGCAGCAGCAGGTGCTGGACAGTGGCCTCCCTGGATCTTGTCCGTGGCCACCCAGCAGTGCTCATGCGTCGTGCTCCAGGATGCAGTGTGTAGATGCGGCTCCCTCAGAGCTCTGGGAGGTGATGGCCACACCCGTTTCCAGGTGGTGACAGTGGCATCAGCTTTTACTGGACTTTCCGTGTCTGTTACAGAGACCCCAGGCTTCCCCTGCCCTGGGTATGGAGGCCAACAGAGGAGGACCTCGTGGGCTGTTGTAGAGCCTCTTGGGACCCTCAAAGGAAGTGTTTGACCAGTGCAGTGGTGGTGCTGGCTTTCAGAACCACTGTTTAGACGTTTTCTCATATTCCAATAGCAACCTCACTGCATTTGTGACATGGATATAACATTACTGGGACAGCAGAGTGTTCTCAGAGGTCAGCCCCAGAGTGTGAGTGCTGGCGGGTCATACTGGCCAGTGGAGGTCATGCACCTGTATCAGAATTCTTGATTTGCTCGTAGTCATTTGAAATGAAGGAAAATTGACATCAAGTCAAAGGAAAAGTCAGCACACATTTGCTTTTCATTATTTATCCTAAATCTTTACACTACTTCTTGAATTTCAATTTTTTGTGTGTTAGTTTTTTTAAGTTTTTAAAACAATCCATCTTGTATATATATAATTCAGTATTTTTTGTTTTTATTAGAAATGAATGCAATAAATTAGGAGAAATTGCAAGTAATTTTTTTGCTCGAATGAAGAGAGCTGCAGGGAGGCTTTCTGCAGTCTGCCAGACTTAACAGTTCTTTTTCACAACAAGTGACAGTGAATTTCCACCAGGAGAGATCCTCGAGGCTGTCTGGCCCAGTGGGTCAGTTGCCTTGTGTCCCATCTGTGTCTGGGTGGTGATGCTGCAGGCGGCTTTGAAAGCCGTCCAGGAAGCTGGGCAGTGAGCATAGCACCCCTCTGTCCTGCTCCATGTTTTTCTTGCGAATCTAAAATTGTTTCAAATAAAAAGTAAAAAATGCAGACATTTTCATTTGGGGTCATGGTGTGGGGAATGATGGGTGCAGTGGTCCTTCGAGTTGCTTTGTTTGTCTTTTTAAGAAAAAGCTACCCCTAGAACTGAGCCTCAGTATTTTGTTGTGGGGCCAAGTTCTGGTAGGAGCGTTTCTGCCGCTGTCCACAGTGGCATGGTGGCCCCAGTGTCTGTCTGAGTGTCCCAGCATGCAAGTCCCTGACCATCTCTTCTTCTCACCCCTCTGCAGGGCAACCTCCAGATCCACCATGTCGGGCAGGACGGGCAGGTGAGTGGTCCATCTGACTCCTCCAGTGGGCTCTCGGGAGGGGCTGGGGCCAGAGGGCCCTGAGGTGGCCTCACGGTGCCCACACGGTGCCGGGTGGAGGAGAGGGATTTGCATTTGCTGCTTTGAGGCTTCACCTGTGGAAGACCCTCTCCCCCATTTTTCTTTATTTTCTGTATGGTCACGTGAACGTTGTCCACACTTGTGTGTGCTCTGGTAGTGGTGTGTTCCAACAAGGTAGGTTTGCTCCTGCATGTCACTGTCAGACTCAAGCCAACTGAGACAAGAAGAACCCAGATCAGGCACACTGGTGGGAACTGTCTTCACCAGGTGGTGTCCAGCAATGTGGGTCCTCAGGGGTTTCTGTCCAGGCGCAGGTGAAATTGCCCGTGGTTTTGTGGGTCTCTATCTTTGTGTCCTCTCAAGGACAGTTTCTACTAAGGAGATTATCACCTCATGTGATGACGTCTCGAGATGATCTTCCTGTCTGTGAGACGTGACTTGTGGAGTTGGGAGTCTCTGACTAGCAGGCCTGAGCACTCCTCTTTCAAGGCCATGTGCACATTCTCCTTTGAAAGTGCGTCCCCATTGTCACCAGCCAGGGCCCTGCTGGGATCTGCCGCCAGAGAGCTCCCCAGGGCAGTGACTCACAGGGTCAGGAGCCAAAGGGCAGATGTGCCCCTTGCTCTTCTGGCCCCTCAGACACACCTTGGGAAGAGGGCCACAGACCCTCCAGATTTGCTTAAATTGGAGTTCCTTGGTCTGGAAGTTTCATCTTAAGGATAAACATGAGGTTCTAATCATGGTCCTGCAGGGTTGTTTATGTATAAACATAAAATAGCTTCTTGGGAAGAGCACCAAAGCCACAGGAACATGGGGTTCAGGGAGCTCCACAGCACTGCTTCCGTGCTCCTGGGGTCGGTGACGTGCTGTGGCCAGCCCTGCACAGGGGCCGCCTCCCTTCTCCCTCACATGGTGCTCGCGGCCAGCTGGGAAAGTGGGGCTGGGCCTTCTCCCTGCGAGGGTTTCATCTTGGATTTTGGTGGTTTGTGTTTATGCTTGTCGTGAAATTTTATCATAGTTACAATACTGCTTCACTTTAACTCATGAGAAAAATAGAGTATGTCACCATTGACATTCTCTGTGTTTCTGTCTCTATTTCTGAACAAAATCCCCTCAGAATTTTAAAGACATAGCCAGGTTTTTATACTATATTAATGTAACATTTGTGATGTGGACAGGGCTGTGCAGCCGTGGCAGTGCCTGGGCTCCAGCCCAGGTCTGAATTCAGGACACTCAGGACTGATGCCAGAAGAGTCACTGCCCGAATCCTTCAAAGGATTCTTGTCCTGACGTCACGTGTGCCTCCACTCCCTGTGGGCAGACCCAAGGCCCACTGCTCCCCGTGGCTCCTCAAGTGGTCCGCCCCCCAAGCAGCCTCACTATAGAGTAAAACTGCCATGCATATCACCTTTTTATGTTAAACGAGTAATAATTTATAAACCATCTGATGTTTTGCCTATATGAAATCTTGTACTTTGTTTCCATCTCCTGATTCCCATTATTGGTCATATTTGCGGGACCTCTAATCAAAGACAGAGCCTGAGTAAGGGCCAAGGCTAATACTGACGGCAGCGGGCGGGTTCTCAGCGTCTGCCTCTGCCTTCCAATTGAAATGAACAGTGTGTGTTTACATGGGGTGCCCCTCCCTCCTTTTCTGTTTTCCACTTGGGGAAAGTTTCCTCAGGTGTCACCCTCTGTCCGGGTCTCATTCCTGCTGCTCATGGCAGCTTCTCTTCCAGACTGGCCAGACATTTGGGCAACAGAACAGGTTTCGAGAGGAGCTGAGCCCCACTCACCTTGCAGGTGCTGACAGGCTGGCTGAGGAGCACTGGCCCCGTTGTGCCCCATCCCTGTCCCCTCTGCGCAGCTGGTGTATAAGCTAGTGCCTCGCGTGCACGGAAGTTTATGACCTGAGACTTCACTGAGGTTATGAAATCCAGGAGTCTCTCGGAAGAGTCTAGCGTTTTCTAGGTATAAGATCATATTGCCAGTAAGCAGCCAATTTGACTTTTTTCTGGATGCCTGTTCTTTCTTTCGTTTGCTTGATTACGCTGGCTGGGCCTCCAGGGTGTGGGAGCAGTGTGGAGAGTGGGAGCCCTATGCTGTCCTGGGGGGTGTCTCATTCAGGGTGACGCTGGGTGTTACCATTTTGAGGTGTGATCTTCTATGCCTAATTTGTTGAGGGTTTTTATTGAATTAAAAGAAAGGGAGAAGAGCCTTAGAAATAATAGTATGTTGATGAGATTTGGTTTTCTTATGAAATAAAGTTTTGTAAGATACATAGTTATATATGTATTTAACTCATGAGTTGAACACTTGAGTACTGGTGTGTATTTTTTTAATGAAGTTTATATAATGACTTTTCCTTCTGAAAAAATTTTATCAAGCTAAGAAAAAAATGATTATAAACATGTTAGTTAAAAATTACTTTTTAGCTCGGCACCTGTAGCTCAAGCAGCTAAGGTACCAGCCACATACACCAGAGCTGCTGACTTTGAATGTAGCCCAGGCCTGCCAAACAACAATGACAACAACAACCAAAAAATAACTGGGCGTTGTGGTGGGCACCTGTAGTCCCAGCTACTTGGGAGGCTAAGGCAAGAGAATCGCTTGAACCCAGGAGTTGGAGGTTGCTGTGAGCTGTGATGCCAGGGTGACAGCTTAAGGCTGTGTTTCAAAAAAAAAAATTATTTTTCAGCTTACATCTCAGCTTTTAGTCCAGGTTATGAAAATCAGAATTATGTCTGTCACTGCAGCAGCAGCCTGCTGCTTCCACTCCCCTGCACCCATCCTGGCCCTCGGCTGCTGCACGGGTGTGTGGAACGCCTTCTCTCATGGAGCTCTGGGGAGCAGGGGGCCCCCAGAGGCAGGCTTCAGTCACAACTGGTCTGTGCCGGGGGATGTCAGAGCTTCTGGCAGCAGGAAGAGCCTTTTCACACAGGGCCTCTGGAGCATCTGAACCACTCACTGCTGTCACAGAAGCGGTCCCAGTGGCCCCACCAGGCCCCGGGCACCACAGATGAGGCCAGCTTGTGGGTAACAGATCTTTTGGGAGAGACCTGGGTTGGAGGGAGAGTCACAGCAGGGCTCTGGTGACCAGAGCATTGGTGAC